CCCTAATTTGGGAAACCCCCACATAAGCGCCTGCATGGCACGTGCCTCAGGCCTCCTTCCGGATCCTGTCCAGGAGGTCGCAGCTTTGTGAACGTGTTTAGGCTTAGGGTTGGGGGTAAAAATTTAAACCCCTAAACCCTTAAACCCCTGGACCCTGAAACCCCTAAACCCTTAAACCCTAAACCTTGGGGGGGTTCAGGTTTAGGATTTAGCGTTTGGGGCTTACAGCTTAGGGCTTCGGGGTCTGTGGTTCTCGGGATGCAAGCAACGGGGGCATGTTTTCTGAGGAGGGACAGAAAATGGATTGACCCTCAAAGTCCCTAGACCCCATATGGGGGTTTCCCCAGATTTGATGCATGTTTTGTGGGTCCCTATAATTCTAATAAGGATTAGCATTTTGGGGTCTATATTGGGGTCCCCCTATTTTGGGATACTGCCATGTTCCTTTGCCTAATTTTCTACTGTCTTCCAGTATGTTTTCAACCAAAATACGCTACGAGTTAGCGTCAGCGTAGAGAGCAAGCAGCTTTTTGATCTCCTGCCGCAGTTGGTCCGGAAGCACATGGAGGAGCAGGGCACCTACTACGACGGGCAGTGTCTATAAATTGGTGGCTCCAAACTAGACACCCCCAATGCAGTAATCCGCATTATGGGGCCCTATAAGTCTTGGAAACCCACACTTACATTGGTCGGGAGGTGCGGAGTAGGCCTTGGGCACTGCACCAAGGTGCTGCTTTAGCTGTTTCACAGGTTACGTGAGTAGGCCAGGGGAAGAGACGAGCAAAGCTGGCTTCCTTCCTTCCTCATCTTGCGGTATTTCCTGCAATGTGAAAAGAACTTGTAGGTAGCGCAAAGGTACCTCGTGTTAGCTCGCAAGTTGCTTAATTCCCATGAGACACCTGGCTTTTCATAAGAGTGACAAATATTTTTTCTCCCTGAGAATCGTACATGATAGCTTGGACTCCAAGTCCTTTATCCACATGTGCCCAGGGTTGGAAGCAACCCTATTGAGCTTGTGATGAGCGCGCGGCCCTCAGGGGGGGTGGGGGTGGACATTCAAAGCTGACACATTGCCATACCGTTATTATAATGATGCGGATATGAGGGTGGGATTACTGCGGGATCCTAGAGCCTTCGATCCGGAACATGGTCAATGGGGAGTAAGTTCTTGTTATTGACATGTGGATGCAGAAAGAAGCTACGCAAAGTTTGGGAAGCCATAATTGATCAAGCACATCAACCACACAGAGTCTACCTCCTGAAGCCGAGAAACCCAAGTAGCGAGTTTTAAGCCCCGCGCCCTCCACTCCAAATCCCACTCTCTCACAGAGGTGGGCCGCCGCCTGGAATTCCGGTGGAAGATGTTGGGTGAGCGGAGGTTGCGAAGCGACTTTCTTGGCCTCGGGCTTACCGCGATCCATCATTAGTTTCAAGGGCCCCACTCATCCCTCCGGTTGGGTTAGCACTGAGCGAATTGTTGGCAGGGTCGGGTAGGGGTCCTGGAAAGTGGGGTTCCTGACGGACAGCGGAATACGCACGCTGGCGGGTGTAGGTTGTAACGGAGCGGCCTTGTCACCCGAAGAGAGGCTATGGCCTTCAGCTTTGCAATGGCCCATCATAATCCAACACCTGCGCCTTTGCCTCTGATACACGTTAACCAATGGTGTCCTATTTGTTTTGGCTTCTGGATGCTTTGCTGTTTGGTTTCCGTGGCCTTGAATGCAGCAGAGGACCAGAGTTCACCAAAGAGACTGTACAGCTTGCGGTGCAGCTCCGGCCTCAACAACCTCCATTAGCACCATCAGACATCCCTCTTCTCTCACTTCATCTAAAGTGCTCCTAGCTGGTGACATGGATTTCAGGATTGTAGCGCCATACCAAGCTGCAGTATCACTGCTGTCCTTGAATCTGCGCATGCTCAACAGGTGCTCTTTAAAGAAGTGCATGATTGCATGTGGGCTCAGGCGCATCGGCAAGAAAAACTTCACCATACAGGCCAAAAGCTCATCCTACAATCCGTTAGGAACACAGGTGCTCACCCTATAGGTCCGCTGCATTCCTAGTTTGTGCTTGGGTGACGGCGGGCCACAAATAGGTCTTGCCCCAGCGTGGCCAGAACTTTGAAGCTGCAGCGTAAGTCCGTGAAAGATGCCTCAGAGTGGTGAGAAATCGCTTGTGCCACACTGGGCAATGCTTATTCTGGCCAAGAAGTCTCGTGAGTGGACTGCTTAGCTGGAGAGCCTGAAGGGGGCTCCTCTGAGAAAGTGATTAATTACCCTCCCCCCAACAATCATGGGTGTTGCGGTTCGGTCC